AAACTTGTACGCGACAGACATAAAAAAGGGAATCAACTGAATCTCTAACTGATCAAGGGAAAAGTAGATTTTAAGATTTTAAGATTGTCAAAGATTTTCGAAGATTTCAAAAAAGTTTAAAAAATTTTAACATTTAAAGAAAGTGCATCATCTCCTTTAATGACATTTAACTAAAATAGGAGTGGGAAGTTACCGTTACCGCGTAACCGGTAACGGTACCCTTTGGGCCACAAGTCCTACAATAGCGAGATACCCTTGGGTCCTCAAGTCCTATACTAAGGGAATACCCTTGAATCCTTAAATTCTACTCCTCATAAGCCCTCCCCCCCTCCTTGCTAAATGTGGTTATTCAATCAGTCCGTAGACTCAAATATAAGAAAAACTGAATAGTCCGTGCACATTCGCAGCTCGGAAATATCAACTAACAAAGGAGAAACGAAACGTCCATGCAAGCGAAGTTGGCTTCACCACCATCATCCCTCTGGTACACATGAGCGGAACCTATTTGCACGTTAGCCAGTTAGCTGTCTGATCACAGCTGAGCAAGTAAAAGTACAGCTTTCTATACTAACAAAACCGTATCGCATTTCAACTTCAGAGTACATAAGGATCGTTTCCTATTTGACACTAAAACCTCATTTTCAAAAAAACAACGAAAACGACGACACGTGAAATCATTCACTTCTGAGTAATAAACGAAATCAGGTTTCACTAACCGGTCATACTTCCAAATGGACGATACAAAAATGTATGACCAATCCCCATTTCGTTGGACTGCTCGTCTCTTCGATTGGCAAAATTGACTTTAGAGTTCTGAGATGCTAACCCCAGGCTTCACTTTCCCAACGCCGATTTGACCCGCCAGCCTTTATTAAATGTCGTTATTTTCTCAAAAACCCATCCCTACGATGAATAATGCAGGTGTCGAATTTTCCTTTATCTCATCTCCAGGCATCTCCTAAGCTAATAGTAACTCTTCTCGGACACTTAGCAGTAAGAAAAAGCTTAGGCTACATCATTGCTCCCTATCGATAGCGCTTCAGAAAGTTATGGCACCCAAATCGATAGCACCTTGGTAAATCAAACTTCTTCTATTGCGCGACACTTCAAAACTAATGGGAAATCGCTCGAAAACAGCTTTAAAGACTTCTGAAACCTGTATACGAGACAGCTTGTCCAGCTAACGATCTTCCGATTTTCTTATTTTTCATGAAAGCCTTGAAATTAAACTACAAACTAATTTTAGATTTTAAGTACATGACCAAGTAGATCGAACATTTCTCTAAAAAACTGGAGGCGTGCCAACTTCTGAAGTTGAATCATTATGAAAATAGAGCTATTTTATGAAGGGCTCGAAAAATCAATTTTAGAGCTATGTGAAAAGTTATTTTAAAAGTCTCAAAACGATAGAGCAAATACCTGAAAAGTATACCAGCTTCTAGAAAATTCTTTGCTCTACAAGATGTAATAGTTTTCAAAGTTCGAAACCATCTCAATGAATTTTTATTAGTTAAAAAAAACTACAAAAAACAGTAACGCACTCACATTTTTCGTCATTTTTGGGAAGTGCGCTGCCGTTGTTTTTGTAGTTTTCTTGAGCTAATAATAATTCATTGAGATGATTTCGAACTTTGAAAACTATCACATCTTGTAGAGCGAAGAGTTCTCTAGAAACTGGTATACTTTTCAGGTATTTACTATATCGTTTTGAGACTTTTAAAATAACTTTCCACATAGCTCTGAAATTGATTTTTGGAGCCCTTCGTAAAATAGCTCTATCCTCATAATGATTCAACTTCAGAAGTCGATACATCTCCCATATTGTAGAGAAATTTTAGATCTCCTTGTTCATGCACTTAAAATCTAAAATTAGTTTCTGGTTTTATTGCAAGGCTTTCATGAAAAAGACCAAAATTGGGAGACCGTTAGCTGGACAAGCTGGGGAGCCCATAAGGCCCTACGCGTCCTCCTCAGATTGCCGTTCATAACTAGTCACCTCCTCTATATTATAGTCCGCATAGAACTAAAGATACCCCTTGAGTTGGGGAAGTTCGACGGACCAAATCGTTAAAGTCACCGCGTGATGGACAAGTCACCGTCCTTACCGTTACCCTAGAACGAGGAAACTGCCCCGTTACCAGCTATCTGGTAACGGTAATGGGGAGGTCGAATCCCTAGTACCCCTAGTATACCACTATAGAATCCAAGATAGCCGTCTAGTTTGTGACATGATGATCCAAGACTACCCCCTGTAGAATGGCTTGTAAACCCAAGCATACTCCCCCCCTATAGTAGTACCCTAGGACCCACGGGTACCTTCCTATGATAGGACTTAAGGGCCAAAGGGTACCCTCTATAGTAAAGTCCTTGACACATTAGAAGACCTCGTTCGACAAACACAGCAGAAGATAGTTTAGAAGACCCCCTTGAAAATTGATTTTTTTAGTGGTTTCTAAAGCTTTTTAATTTTTTTAGCATTTATGTATATGCTAATATTTAAGTTTTTTTTCAGTATGGACAATATTTTGCTTCTATTATCTTAGCAGCAAATCAGCTCTAAGTTGGACAGCTGATGAGAAAAAGCTGACAGGAAATAGTAGTTAATAATAGAAATGTTTTCTGTATAAAAAAAAGCGTGTTCTGAGATCACTTTAATGCTCCTATGCAGCGTGTTGTTAAGAAACTTGTTAGATTTTCTTTGCGATAATATTCGTGTTCCAATGGTCAAAGGACCTAATTAATGAGATACACATCCAAACGTGTCACACATGAGAAGATCTTTCTGAAAGAAGAATATCTTCGGTAAAAGCCCGTTGTTCATTAGTTAATACTTCGTTTCGTCTGTGCACTTCCTTCGAGAAATTTTGACACGTTCGTATCATGAAAGATCTCCTTCATAATTGGAAAAATATATCTCTGAGGACATGCAATGATACGTGTCTTATGAAATACCCCTTCTATGTCTGAGGACGTATCTCTTTTCACATGAAGATGTCAAGATGCTTTTCGAAGCAGACACAAAAGATTCTAAAATCACTCTCAACGTGTATTCAATCGCTCTTTTTCTGTAAATTGTTTCTTCGTAGACAACCATATTCATTCAAATTAGCTAGAAACTAATAACTAAGCTGGTGGTACATTTCATCTTGAACCAATTCTATTTATACGAGCCGAATGTAATGCTCTTCGCCGAAAACAAGATCGTCGAAGAGCATACTTACCTACGAGCCAATCCTCAGCATAAGCAAATAACTGAAATAACTGTGACATAAAAAGGGTTAGTTTTCTTTCTTAAAGTTATTTATACCCCCGAATAAAACTCTTTTTCTCCTTTGTTTCTATGTTATCATATTTTACATCAAATTTATGATCAAATAAAGATATGGCATAAGGGTTTTATTTCAGTGTGATCTATACCATATTGAAATAAAACTCTTATGTCGTATCTTTACTCGGCAATAAATTTGATGCAAAGTATGATAGAATAGAAACAAAGACGGAGAAAGATTTCTGTCCGAGGGTGTAGTTATATAGAACATAAGTATCACCAGTGATAGATCGTATTCTTTCGAAATAGTCCTTTTATAAATCGCACAAAAACTTTAAGCTGTGCTGTCCATATTGTGGATGTGGACGGGTGTGGATGTGGGTGTGGGTAGGTGTGAGTGGATAGGTATACCAATAACTATGCACACACCCACACCCACACCCACACCCACACCCACACCCACACCCACCCACACCCACACCCACACCCAAATTCGTCAACATAAAATGCGAAAATCAAAGAATCGAAAGTTTCGTACTAAAAAACTTCTTGATGAAGTAAAAAATTTGATTGATAATCTTCCTTCGTCTCGTAAACGTACGTCCAAATCTTTGGATTGAAAGACAATTGTTTATTTTACCTTATAGTTATTTTTGTTTGTTATCTAATTTGTTTTCTTTTGAAAAGGTGTTATGTTTTTATTTTATGTAATTTATTCCTTTTTTGTATTTTCTACAGATGCTGGTTTTCTCTTTGTCTGTTATAACATTCAATGGATAGCATTGCTACTTTTCACTATTACTTTCTCAATATATTCAGCTCTCTTGTTATTACTTTTTTTTGTAAGAATTACTATATTTACTTGTGCAAAAAGATTAAATAAAATAAAATAAAATCATTCATCAGCGAAATTAATGTAATTTATCTCATAATGAAATAAAGATATGCAAAATTTAATTTAATATTTCTTTCGTTTGTCTCAGAACTATAACTAAATACGATAATTTGTATGCCAATAAAGTATAAAAACGAAAACAATTCTCAATTTTAGATGTCGTCAAATATATCTGAAGATATTCGTATTTTTTCTTCACTTGTTTCTCATTTGGGACTTGAAGCACTTGTATTCCTCTTACGGGTCGAAAAGCAATTAACAGCTGTACCACTTCAGGTGTTTCCATTATCTCAAAGAATTGAGCATATTACGCATCTTATAAATACGCGCTTTCAAACATCTTTTCCGGTGGAAAAAGTTCGTGAACTAAGGAATGAACTAAATATGAACGATTCTTTTATCACTCGTCTAACCTCTGTCTCAAATTTCAACACATTTATCGATTCTTATATTCATTCAAATGAATATACGTCATTGACATATCGACATCTCCTCAATGAGCTCGTTCTATTACCGTATACTAAACATTGTGTCAATTGCAAGAATGAAATCAATAAGTTTACTTATAATTCTATTCATGTACTTGATCTTGATTGTATTAAACCAGCTTGTATAATAGACGGTCATTGTTTATCTTGTCATCTCTCTTATTCTGTTTCATCAATGGAATCAACTAATTTTGCGACAAGATGTTATTCATCCAGTTCATTGAACAATTCAAATATATTTTATGCATCAGGTGCTCTCGGTTTTACCCATTCATTGTTAGACTTATTCAGTAGTTTACTTATCAATTGCCACTGCACTTTTCTTGGATTTGCTACAACAATTATTGAGATGATTAGTCGGAATAATCCATCACAAAAAGATTTTTTCAATCTTGATTATTTAGCAAAACGATTTGAAATCGGTTGGCTTAGTTATCAGCTAGCACACTTCGAGTTAATGTTAGGCAAATCACTTCATACCTATCGACTTGTCTCAATGCCTCGATCACTTCAAGCTGAGTCTCGCGATCGGTATTTTGAACAATCAGCATCGTATTGGTAGCATTTGTTTGTTGTCTTTTGGAGCAGACATAAAAAAATTTCAAATTCATGTGATGTTGATATTTGTTCCAAGTGTATTATCATGGATGGGCATCAAAAGCCACGCAGATTAATTTGTCAGGCAAATTATGTAGTGGATAATACAATTCCAGAAATGGGACCAGTCGTCATTGGTTGTCCATATCCACCTCTTCGACAAACGAATACCAAATCAGATGGTTAGTTTCATTTGCTTGAGTTAATTAACATTCACAGCATGTTTGGAGAGCGACATTCTTTTGCATTAAATATTATAGAATTAGAAAAAATTAAGAAAATACGCCTATAAATATAGACATTATCTGAGCTTCTTTACTGGGGATGACTTCTAGAATTTCACTTCTTCAAAACCTGAAAAGATGAATTTCCATAAAAGAGAGTTCTTCCACCAACCATTTTAGAGACTATAATATTGAAATGATGCCATGACAAATTATATAAAGTATGAAAAATTAAATAGCAACCCTAGTCAAATATCTAATCATGACTTAAATAATTTCTGAAGCATTTTCTGTTGTGTCAAACATCAAAACAGCCTTTCATCTCAGTATAGTAGCATGTCTTTCAATGAGACACACTCTCTAACTTTTATATTGATCCTAAGTCAAAAACCTATCAGCCTACTACAAACTGGTTCGTCTCAAACACGCAAGTATCTAGATGCGAGTAAAATATGATAGAGATTAGATTTCTGGTATTTGTTTTTAATCGTAGATGTTTTTCATAATAATTCAATATTCTAATCTGCTAAATTATTCACATTCATACTTTCACTCTAAGCGTGGGTGTGGATGTGGATGTGGGTGTCTTTTCTGCTATCAACATCCACACCCACACTCACATCCACACGTACACCCACACCCACACCCACACACCCACACACCCCACCCACAACCACATCTACACCCACACCCACCCACACCGACACCCCACACCCACCCACACCCCACACCCAGTCTTTACCGCTGAATATTTTTTTTTACGCAATTGTGTTAATATTATATTTACTGTTTTATGTTTAGATGAGACCACGAGTAACTTTTATACAAAGGCAAGAAACAGTTAAAAGGAAAAATCGTTCACATTGGGCAGCTCATAAATGTCAAATATCACTCAAAAGAATGCAGAACAAGGTCAATCTGAAAAGATTACAAAAACGAAACTTCAAGCATGGTGAATTAACAGGTCTGAAAATAAACGATATATTTGCTTACTTATCAATTGATGAAAAAAACAAATAATGAAGCTGCTGAAGAATTCGATAATGCAACATTTGATAGTGATTTTGAAAATGAATATTTTGATGATATTGACGAGGAAAATGATATTCATGATAGTGAAAATGAAAATGGAGAAGATTTTGAGGAAGAAGAAATGATTGAAGAAGATTTATGTGAGGAACAAATTTTATTTGGTAACGAGTTTTTCAATATGGAAAGCTCGACAATGTCAACTCGTGACTATGATGAAATAGTGAGTAATAAAATTGATGGAAAAAGCCATCTCTTTCTCTCATTATTTACTTATTCGAACTAAATTTATTACTATTGATATTTTCTTGACATTATGTTCTGGTATAGGATATTTCAGTAGTTTTATTAACTCTTAAAAAGAAGCACAAGTGCTCAAACAACCTACTCAACGACTTATTAAAGCATTTAATATTACTAAAGGGGCCAAATGTCCCATCGTCCTGGTACAAATTAAAACAAATTATTAGTAGGTCGAATACAAAACCAAAAGAAAAACAAAAATTGATTGATTTAACGCTATACTTTTGTCCAGAGTGTGAAAATGAGTCTAGTGATTCAAATAAATGTACTAATCCGTATTGTTCATACAACACAAGCACATTAATACCACCTCACATATGTATGATAATGAATATTCACCAACAAATAGAACAAGTTTTAAGATCGATCAAACGAAATGATTTGCATTTACCAGCGGAAAAATATAGAAATTCTAAAAAATCAATGACTGATGTTCAAGATGGACATGTTTATACAAACATCTTATACTCATTGGAAAATGAACGTCAATCAAAGTTTATATCGTTAACATGTAACATTGATGGTGTAGCAGTTTATACAAGTAGTGAACAAAGCATGTGGACCTTCATAGCTTGTATAAATGAACTGAAGCGAACAATACGTTTTTCTATTGAGAATATTATTGGTAAAACACTTGTCAAAATTTATCCTCTTGAATTTTTCTCTATATTTTAGTACTAGCAATCAGTGTAGGTCGTAAAAAACCATCACGAATCATTATGCAAAAGATGCTTTCTCCAATAGTTCAACGTCTGTAAGCATTACAAAAACCAAATTTGTATCAAATCTCCATCGATTCATATGGTATACTGCGCGTTTATCTTATTGGAATTTGTAATGATAAACCTGCGAATAGTCTTGTTCAGAATCAATCTCAACCAAATGCATTGTACGGTTGTTCCAAAAGTGAAATTGCTGGTTATTATCTTTTATTCTCCTCTAACAAACCACGAAAAAATTATAAAAAAAACACCGCGGTTCAAAAAATCGCGAAAGTCAGACCATTTATGTGTTTCTCTAAAAACAGTCAAAATCGCGGTACATAAATATCGCGGTGGCAATAGGGAAAACCGCGGTTAAACTTGCAAAAAGTTATCTCGAACCGCGGTTTTTCCTATTGCCACCGCAGTATTTATGTACCACTGTTTTGATCGGTTTTTGAGAAACGCATAAATAGTCTAACTTTCGCGGTTTTTTAAACCGCAGTATTTTGTGAAAAAAACGGCGGTTAACCGCAGGTTTCTTATAAAAATTTTTCATGGGAAGTAACTAACGCTCACGTCTTTTTTGTTTTCTTTTTAGAATGTACAACACCAGCAAAAATTCACGCAACCCTAGCAAAATCAAAAAAAATAACAACCACATATATTCGGATTTTCCCAACACGAACAAATGAACAACCGCAAATGAGATCAAATGCTCGATGGCATGAAATAAGTCATGCTCTTCAAAATGGTCATGTTTTTTTCTACTGAAGATAATAAAACACATTCGTTTGGTTATGAAGGTGAATCGGAATTTACCAGTTTAGCATTGGTTGATCGTGGTACCTCTTTTATGAGCGATACTTTGCATACAATCTATCATGGTGCTTTTGTACGTACAAAAGACTTTTTTAAAATAGGTAGTTATATATTATTCTCTGAAATAGAAGAAATTATTACAATTATGGACAGAATCATCAAACAAGCAGCCGTGGTCGATAGCACGTTTTCTTCCATTGATAAATCATGATATTCAAAATATTCGTTATCGTAGCACAACAGCAAGAGCACCACGAAGTATAATTAAATGCATGAAGCTAAAAGCTAACGAGTCTCGAGTTTTATTATTGATTGGCTATCCCATCTTTAAAAAGTACTTACCAGAAGTGTATTATAATCATTTAAAAATGCTAGCGTTTGGCATTTGTATTGGAGAATCGCGTAATATTTCACCAGAAAATATAAATGAAATGGAATTGTTATTATCCAGCTTTGTGGATAATTTTCCTTATCCTGAACGATATATCGTTCAGAATATTCATTCAGTAAAACACTTCGCAACAATCACAAAAGATTTTGGTCCGTTATTCAATTATAGTACATTTAATTTTGAAAACATTATTGGTAAGATTATGTATAAACTATGGTTTTCATTATCCTTTTTCGTGTTTTTCCTTTCGTGCACAGGATATTTATTAGCATCTATTCATGGTACCAAACGACCAGGTAGTAAATTACTAACGAATCTTCAGCTATTCCAACAATCCTATTTCGCTTCAAAAAATCATTGTTCATCATCAAATCTTTCGACGTTTATAGAATATTTAGAAACTAAAAAAAGACATTGTCGTCAACAACAACAAATATCAAGTGAATATGTTTCAAAAGATGATTTAGAATTATTATATACATCAATTTCGAAGAAAAGTGCAGTGAAAACCATGAAATCGAGTAAGACATAAATTACTAAAGTTCATAATCAATTATAACTAATAAAATGTAATTACTAATAATAGATCTTTAATTCATAAGCCCATGAAAAAAAAAATTTGAAGAAAACCGCAGTTTTGAAAAACCAGCGAAAGTCAGACCATTTATGCGTTTCTCAAAAATCGGTCAAAACCGCGGTGGCAGCAAAGACAAACGCGGTTCGAGCTAACTGTTTGCAAGTTTAACCGTGGTGGTTCCTGTTGTCACCTCGGTATTTATATACCGCGGTTTTGATCGGTTTGTGAAAAACGCAGAAATGGTCTGACTGTCGCGGTTTTCTTCAAAAATTTATTTTCGTGGAACATGTTATTCTTTTAGTTGTATTTCATCATTCATCATTATCCACAAAAACCAGCTCAAAATCAAAAACATTTTCCGATTCGAACGTGGTTTACAAGCATCTTAATAAAATCCACTATGGTATTATCCAAAGCATATTTTTTATCGAACAACAAGAAAGATATTTATTAAAAATACAACCATTACAAAATATTAATTATGATTCGTTAAAAATTGGCTCTAAAGTATTTATTAATGAACATGTGATATTTGGCATTTTATCAAAGAGCGAAGTTCATTTAATATCATTGGAAAATATCATTGAGAAGGCATGCTTCTACCATGATAATGAAACTTGTTACTTTGCTCGCTATCCAAATTTTTATGAATCTTCTTAAATATTTTTTATTTTCTTTCATTACATCTTGCTAGCCAATAAGATAAACAACTCTTCTTTTATATTAATCGAAACCAAAAACTTTGCATTCTTAATAGTCGTTTCTATAAGACTTTGTAAACGAATAATACTTTCTTTTGCAATTCCACTTCGCTTACTTTTCAACAAAAGGATATTTTCAAAAAAAGATAACCAAGAGCATTTGTTATTAGTCGATTTGTTTAATTTGCACCACGATTTCAAACAAACGAATTACGTAATCTTGTTGTCGGACTAGATCAAACTCCATCTGTTATATCGACTTAAATAATGAATGAGTACTCATACGTGTATTCGAAATCATCAGAGATTTCGTCACACATAAACCAAAGATCACTGCTATATAAACCGCTAACATCATTAAGCACAAACTGCGGTTATTGTTGAGTATACCGTGGTATGTGACAGTGTCACAACCGCTATATTGAATACCGCGGTATGTGAAACCGATCGCAACCGCTATATTTAATACCGCGGTTTTCTTTAACGCGGTACACAAAATCGCGGTGAACCGCGGTTTTCTGCAAAAAAATTTTTCATGGGAAGATAGACCCCCGTGAATTATGAAAAACCCCAAAAGATTAAATCCTCTTAGGTCTTCTGTCCAAAATTAAAGGCATTTTACTGGAATTTTAGCCTATGGCATGGTATATAACAATAAATCGAATGACGGTATTTCGACCTGAAATTTTGCCCACAGACAGGTCTATTTATGAGTAGGATATCCTGAAAATTTCAGCTGAAAAGAATGTTTTCTTCCCGAGATATTCAAGCCCCAAAAATGACTCATATACTACAAAAGATGATAAAATTTTCTGTTTTTTGGGACTTAAATATCTCGAGAAGAAAACATTCTTTTCAGCTGAAATTTTCAGGATATTCTACTCATAAATAGACCTGCCTGTGGGCAAAATTTCAGGTCGAAATACCATCATTCGATTTATTGGTATATACCATACCATAGGCTAAAATTCCAGTAAAATGCCTATAACTTTGGACAGAAGGCCTAAGGGGCTTTAATCTTTTAGGGTTTTTCATAATTCACGGGGGTCTATATTTTGCACAAAGTCTGAACTCAAAAGGGGTTGGACAGTTGGCGATGTTCCCTCATGAATATAAATCCAAGATATCATGCAAGGCTTGTCATTACGAAAAACTACTTATTCGATTAAACCAACGTCACATCGCAGTTAACCGAATATTTTTGAAATCATCGGTATGTACCATCGATTTACTACGGTTTTCATAAGATGATTGGTCATACATACTCACGTCTCCAATAAGAATTAGTCAATAACGTAAATGGATGTGATAGTGCATGTACTCTCAGGAGAAGCGGATAGAAAAAAAAAAGGGGAAATGAGAATGACAAGCGAATACGTAAACATGCAATCAACATACGTTTTTTCTCAATGCCTATTGAACGTCGACATAAAAAGAGGTCAACACTTGTGCCAACGTAAAAGTAGATACACTTTTGGTAAGCACTTTAAAACAGTAAATATATGTTGTCACTGAACCTATTCTCTCCTCAAACTAATGAGAAAGACATTGCTAATATGTGTGGACATCATCACTTAAAAGGTAAATTACGTGCAAGATCACTGCTTGATCAGTTTCTATGATTCTTATATATGTATATGTTTTTGTAAGCATGTTAAAAGATATTTTGTATGAAGACTATCCTCATGAACAAACAGTAATTTAATAATATAATAAGTAGTTTCAACAGTTCAATATGCTTTTATAATAGACTACGAGAATTCTTTTGAAACCATTCGCTAACGAACGGTTTCTTTGATTCTCAAACGTATTTCCTAAGTTTACTATGCATAGTCATGAGTCATTTTTATTTATATTACAAAGCAGAATTAGAAAGAAAAACTAGTCTTGTGTGGATTCTTATTTGTTTGTTTTTTTTTTTGAAATTATAAATTTGATTTTAATTGATGCCTTTCTTTTTTTTTCCTTAAAACAACGCAAGATGTACGCTTCTGTTTTCAAGATAATACATTTTTGAAATACAAATTAGCTCAAGGTGACATACAAAGGCGTAACATTACAATATTATATATAATAAAAATTTTTTTTAAATACAAATCCATGTCTTGTTGATTTAGCCAAATGTTCAAAAACTAAAATTTATTTTAATCATGTTTGTATTTAGAATTTTTGTCCTATATTAATCAAAACAAGAGAAAAAGTCAATACATTTCATACTATTCTGAATCTCGAGAGGATCAAAATAAATTACTTCTCTATGGAATGGAGTTTTTCAAGAAACAAGAAGCTTATTAAGCCGGTCTTTAATAATTGATTGATCGATTATTGTAAAAGCTGGTGAATTAAAAGCTATTCTTGTTATTTCCTTGCATGAAATGCATATTAGAATGAAACTACATTAGTGCTTGAGAAAAAAAAACACTAATGTATTGTTTTCAGCAGGAAAAATGTTCATAATGCCAAGAAAATTTTTTTCATTTCTATAAATGTAGAATAGAATAATAGTGGCCACAAATATTTCTCTTATTCTTCTTTTTCCTTCTCAAAGTAAGCTATATAGAAAATTCTTCTAATATTTTTTCTCTTCATACCAGCACTCTAATATATAACAAGAAAAACGATAGAGGACGCTATTGTCTGAATCTTGATTTGACCTTGATTGGATTCTTATACACTATAAAATGTGATTATCGATTCTCAAATAAAATGTTTTGAAAAGATTCTATTATTCGAAAAATATCTATAGAAAATATGAAGAATTTTTAAAGACATTTTATTCGCTCATTAAATTATTTTATGACTAATTTATCTATATCTTCTGTGTTCTTCGATGACTCATTTCAACGCGCGTTATATGATAGTAAATCATCGAACTGTCATTATACACATCTCTCTAAAAAAAATGTCTCTTTTGTTCCATTTTAGAAAAATTTTTATAAAAAAACAATCATATCTATCAAAAATACTCTATTCATTCTATTTTAGATTTTACTTCATTAAAAACCGGAAAAAAATGAATATATTCTCAAATCATTGTGTTAGGTATACATTGTTACTTTCCTAGAAAGCTATGAGACAATCATCGTTATTGATAGTCAATCGTGTTCTGTTAAGACTAGCATACACCTAGTCCAATTGTAATGAGGCTTATTTAGAAATGATTAATCATATTCACAAAATATTATTACAAATAATATAAGCTCTATAAGCACATGTATTCATCTTTGAATAAATACATGTTATTTATTGAAATTCTATAACACAAAAAAGACAAATTATCCGAACTTAAAAGTTTTGTTTGATTATATAACTAATATTATAATAGAATACTATTATTAGAATATGTTTTATGTTAATTATAAACTTTATTGATTAGAAATATTCTTATAGGTAAATGATTTTTCATGGAGGGTACATTATTTAAATGGACGAATTATTATAATGGTATGATATTACAAAAAAGAAATAAAAATAAAAAAATTTGTTTGTTTTTTATTTAATATAGGATGGCAACCTCGTTATTTTGTATTAAATGAAACAGGTATTCTTTCATATTACAAATCAAGTGAATTAATTCATGAAGGATGTAAAGGTTCATGTTTAGTACCTGTTTGTGAACTTAAAGGTTAAATAAATAATTAAATTTTATTAAAATATTAATAAATATATCTTTTTCAATATAGTTCATCCAAATGATCCATTACGTTTTGATTTAATTATACCAGGTGAATTATTTCTTTGTTTAAAAGCTAAATCACAACCTGAACGACAACGTTGGCTTGTTGCTTTGGGAACATGTAAATCACGAGGAACTAAATCTACAACATCAACAACAACTATTTCAAATAATAACAATAATAATAATAATAATAATAACAATGCTACACCTTCAATATTGAGTATAAATTAATAAAATATTTAATTATAATCATATTATTATATTTATTTTATTAGTTTCACAGGCAAATGTAATTGATAATGAACTTAAAATAAAAGTTCAAGAATTACGTCTTTATGAAACTGTTCTTACACAACGTATACATGCTATTAAATCAATTGCAAATGATACACCAATACCTGATGTTCAAGTATATTCATTAATGTTTTTATTAATTAACTAAAATGTTTTTTTTTTCTTTTTGTTCATCTTATAAAGAAATTAGATGAATCAACATCAATGTTGAGTGTAACATGTGATGCATTTATTCATACACTTGATGAATGTGTTAAATTAGCAACTGGTGATTCATCTCAATCATTACTTTTACTTTCTCAATCATTATCAACAATTCCTGATGATATATCAACATATCAACAATCATTTTTTCAAATTGATTCTCCTAAGTTTGTTTTATTTTATTTTGTTTATTTTAATATGAAACATAATCTATGTATTATGATTAGATCAACAAATTCAACAACAACAATTTTACCAAAACAATTTTTTTATAAAACATTTTTTTCTCAACTACCTTTTACGTATGTTTAAATAAAATAAAAAATTATTTTTAATAAATTTATTTCATTCATAGATTTGCTAAATTAATTTCATTAGAATTTAAAGATATTCATTCTGAACTTTTTCTTTCGACATGTGAACAATATCTTCATATGATTGGTATAGATTTTTATATTCAATATTTAAATTATTATTTATATTATTAATAGATAAATTCAATAGTAAAACATTTATTCCATTACGTGCAGATGCCAATGGCAATATTAGTGTAAGTTTTATGTTTACAGAATGAACCATAAATAGTACTACAAGAAAAATTTCAAATAAGTTCGCTTTATTTCGTTCGAAGCAGTGCAATTTTTCATTTATTACACAAAAAAACATAAACAAAAATGACTGTCAAGTTCTCACTTGTTGATATTTTTTAGATATCAGAAACGCTCAAAATTTGACAAAAATTCAAATATTCTCGTGAAAAGTATTTTCATCATCGAAATATTAGAAGTGATGAGTGAAGGCGAAGACAAACGAAACGCACTCTGACACAAATCCTTTCACAACAGATGATCTGATATCAAATCGTTGCTCTCTCAGTTCTATTCATCTTGTAACGACATTAGAGTTCAAATCATGTTTCAAAATCCGATTTCCTACGAAGCTATAAAAACAGATATTTTGAAGGAAGCTCTTCCTAAATCGAAAGTTCTGATCAATTATAAATTATATAATATTGATGTACAGTTAAAAAGTTTTCAAAACTAGTCTGTTTTAATGTTGAAATTCATGGCTGAATGCAACTCTTTTGGTACTAACTTCGTTGTAAAAATAGTGTTCTATGTTTAAAAATTCAATATTTTTTAATCATTGACTTTTAAACAAAATAATTCTGAAAATTTACACTATACCCATGAATATAGTTTACCTTGATTTCTTCTTATTCTCTTAGATAACAGGTGAAATTTTTTTTTAATGAGGCTAAAAATATCTCTTGACCGTAATATTTGTTTACATTATTCATATGAATATTAAAAAAACAAAAACAAGCTTTTTCAACGAATCGTAATAGAAATAATGAAATTTATGATCGATTCTATATATAATTTATATTTTCATTTTATAGAAATTAAGAAGAAAAATTAGTAATGATCCAAATAAATTTCAAACATTATATTCGATTGTTAATGATGAAATAATTGCTAAAACCACAAAAGAAAAAAATTCAGCTACTGATGCACTTCTTTGGCTTAAAAGGTACAATTAATTACAATTTAGATTTAAACAATATTCTTTTCAAACATATCAAAATAATTCTTGTCACTAAAAATAACATATATCGATATCTAAAGTGAATTTTCTATTTAATTTCAAATTCATGTAACAGATATACATGTCAAATAAGAACACGCGATAAGTTTTAATGAGTTTCTTTCTATAATCATATATTGTTCAATATTTTATAATAAAAAGGTACTAATTTCCGAGAACATGATGTATACGATCATATTAGTTCTCCTTATTAAATTTTTGCAGATTATTTATATCAACTATGATTTTTCTATTTGAAGTTATAGTCAAAACCTAAAAGTAGCTTCAGGTCAAAGCTGATCACAATTGACATAAAGAATTGGTAGGAGTCGTGAAATTATCAATATTGAGCATGTAGTTTTTGTAAATAGATATACATCAATTGCTTAGATTTCTTATTGAAGTTTAGAATATCTCTCTAGCATTGAGAATAATTGAACTACTAGAGATTCTTCATACCAATTGTGACCAATTTTGATCTGAATTTATTCTTAGGTATTGTATAATGTAAAATATAGTTCTTAAAATCAGCTGGAATTGATCGAAAAGAAACTAAAGCAAAATCATTTAAATGATTAACAAAAAAATTAATTAAAGATATGAATAAGATAATATGTTTCATCTATTCGAATTATTGATCATATCAATAGTGATATATTTGATAAAATCTTATTTTTTTTTTTTGTTTTTATATTATAGAAGTGTTCATTTTCTTGGATGTTTTCTTTGTGAATTTGGTCAAGGAGATAAAACTGTTGAAGATGCTATCAATAAAGCATATGGACAAACATTAAAACGTTTTCATGGATGGATTACACGAGGTGTTTTTTCAGTAAATATTTCCTTTTCCAATTAAAATAATAAAAAAAAAAAAACAACAACATTTTGAAATGATTTTTATAATAATAATTCTTTTAGATTGCACTTCGTTCAGCTCCTTACAAAGAAGATTTTCTTGTATCACTGGCTATAGATTCGAATGATGCTCGAGAAGTTCTTTTTGAACAACAGGTCAATTTATATATATATATATGTTAGCGTCCAATGTCGGATTGGCCTAGGCGAATTGTGGATACTTACATTGGACTAGTCCAATATCGGATTGATGCAATTCGGTTCACTACAATATCAATTACATTTGAGATAGATGTTGGATTCGAATTATTTTTTTGAAATTATGTTCGTACAATGCCGTTTTAAATATTGCAGGCGTTCATGCAGAAGTCAAATTTAGACTGAAGAACTTAATAACAACTTTTCATAAAAGTTGTTGTTCTGTAGAAATTTATTCATAACTCCTAAACTTTAACTTAAATCTGTCCAACGACGATTGTGATAAACAAATTAACATTATATGAACATAATTTCAAAAAAATAATTCGAATCCAACATCTATCTCAAGAGTAATTGATATTTTAGTGAACCGAATTGCGTCAATCCGAGATTGGACTGAATCCGACATTGGACGCTAACATATATATCGTTCTTTTTTTATCAAGGAAAATTTGATTTATTTTTCTTTTTAGATATTGAATGAAATGATTGAACATGGTTCAAATATAAATATTGTTTTAAATAAAATAACAGAGTTTTATATTGAAAATGAACTTGAATCAGATGAAATTATTGGATGATTTATGTTTTTCTTTTTGTGTGTGTGTTTTTTTATTTCTTAAATAATAGATAAAATTATTTTAGATAAAATATATTAAATGAAAGTAGCATTAAATCAAGAAAAAGATAAAACTCATTTATTATCACGTAAAAAACGTCGTCAACTTGAAAGAAAATTAGTTAAAGCAAAACGAAATGCATGGCATCATGGAGAAAAAGTTTGTTTTTTTGTTTTTTTTTATCTATTAAAATAAATACTTTCATTTAGATTCCAATGTCTATTGATACTCTTTCACCTTCAATTGAACATCAAGAAAATTTAATAAAGAAAAAGAAAAAAAAGAAGAAAAATAAATCAAAAGACAAATCATCTGAATTAACATTTGATGAAAAGGTTTAACTATGATTTGTTTTTTTTTATTAATCAATTGTTGTTTTCTTTTTTTTTTTTGATAGGCTGCTAAAGAACATCATCAAAAAATTTTACTTGAAGATAATGAAAGTGAAGATGCTCATATTAAAAAATTAGAAAAACTTTTAGGCATTAAATCTAATAGAAAAACTTATTTACGTGGTTTTATTGATGATGGATTAGATTATTTACTTGATTTTTGTGATAAAGATCGAAGAAAACAAATTATGATTGCAGAAGGTAAATAAATCATTTTTTGTTTTTCTTATTAGATATTTCATTTTATAATATGAATTAGGTGATGGAGAAGGTAATGCTTGGTATGATGAACAAGATGAAGATCAACAATGGTTAGTTAACAAACAAAAAAAACGAGTAGATTTAGCAAATCAACTTGAAAATCAACAAGAAAAAACTAAAAAAAAGAAAACATCTCTCGTTAAATTTAATGATCAAGTTCAAACTAAAATGATTGATGATGATTCATTTGACGAGGAAAAAGAGTTTGATGATGATGATGAAGAAGAAGAAGAAGAAGATTTTGATGAGGAAGAAGAAGAAAATGACTATGAAGAACTAGAAGAAGAAGAAGAAGATAATGATGATGATATAGAAGAAACTCCACCGATGAAAGAAGATATTTATGGACGAATGATTGATGTCAAAGGCAATGTTGTCAAAAATAATGCAAGTAAGAAAAATTAACTAAAAGAATAGAATTATTTCTATCGTTATTAATACAACGAAAAACATAACTAATTATTTGCAACTTTCAGTATTCGAATGAAAATATTTAAGCATCCCGTCAAAAACATGAAAATTGAGATAATTTCATGGTAAGATAATCCACGATATAATCTTTTCTGCTTGAAAAATATGAGTTTCTCAAATAAATTTAAAAGTCTTTTTTTTTGTTTTATCTCTGTATATGCTTTTCTGATTGCGCATTCCATAATTCAAAAAGACATGTCATTATAGCTAATGTTTTTTTCCTTGTTAGAAAGACCATGTCATGATGCAGAACATGATAGAGTTCCTTTTTCAATTAATCTTTGTTTCTTATTATAAAAGAGTACTTGTATCAATAGAGCATCATGTTTTGAGAGGTTTTCGAGATATAGAATTTTTCTTTCTTTAAAAAAAAAAATAAGAATTAAAAAAAAATCCTCTGTAGTTGGTGAATGTGACTATCGGTGTTGAGTGTGATGTGGTATACGAAGGAAGGTAGGTATAGGCCTTCTCTCCACCTTTGCTCATACTCATAAATCACACCTTGTCCACACTCACCTTTAAAATTAATCTGAATTGAATGATATATTTATCTATTTATGACATACATGAAAAATACATGTTGATCATATTTGAATAACCTGCTTTATCTATTGTACTTTTTCACATAAACATGTGAGAAAACAACTAGTCTGTATAACATTTGAGTAGTTTCTCTCATTAAAATTAGAAGATTTGTTAAATCTATTTATTCTTGAAAGAAAAATATTTATTTTATTTAAGTTAACATAAACTTATTTTAGGTACAGTTTATATACCTCCTGCTCTTCGTCAAAAATTAAATTCATCAGATGATAATTCAACTGTAGAAATAAAACGTCGTCTTCAAGGTCAATTAAATCGTTTAAGTGAAAAAAATTTATCATCAATATTAATTGAAATTGAAACACTTTATCGTTCTCAATCTCGTGCATCAATTAATTCATGTTTATATCAATTATATTATGATAGTCTTCTATCATCAATTTCATTAACTAATGAAAGTTTACTTGCTGAACATGCTTTACTTGCTTGTCTTCTTCATGCTAATATTGGTTTAGAAATAGGTTCATATTTATTAGAAAATTTCTTACAAATATTCATTGAACATATTAATGATGACGTATCAAATAAAATAAATGATAATTTACTTATATTTATATCATATTTATATGCATTTCATATGATAAATAGTAAAATTTTATTTGATATAGCACGATATTTATTAAATATAAATCAATTAAATGAAAAACATCTTGAATTAATTCTTTTATTATTAAAAACAATTGGATTTATTTTACGTAAAGATGATCCATTACAATTAAAAACATATTTACAAGAATTACGAACAGCATGTTCATCATCAACATTATTATCATCATCATCAAAACGTATTGAATTTATGATGGATACAATTAAAAGTTTAAAAAATAATGATATTAGAAAATTACCAGGTGGTTATGAACCTGAACGTATTGATCGTTTAAGAAAAATTTATCGAAATTTAGTTAAAAATAAAACTGTACAACATGCAAATATACTTAATGTTAGTTTACAAGATTTTTTAAATGTTAAAGAACAAGGACGATGGTGGATTGTTGGATCGGCATGGCAAAAACAAACTTCTCAATATAATCAAAATAATAATATTCAAAAAATAGAATTACAATTTAATGAAAAAATTCGAAAATTAGCTAAAAAACAACATATGAATACTGATGTTAGACGTTTGATCTTTGGAACTTTATTGACTAGTGAGGTAATTTTACTTAAATCCTTTTTTTTTACAAATATAATTTTTCAAATAATATTTTTTCATCATAATATTAAAAAAAACAGGACACATGTAAAAAACATGTATATCAATTCAAGGCTCTAAACAATAGATTTATTTGAAAAAAAAAATATTGTCCATAGATTTCATCTCGTTAACCTTCGATTTCTTCTATTTCTATCAGTTAATAATAATGTCGAGTATGTTTGAATATAGTGTATACGTTGATTTTCAATACAAAAAAAAAAGTGCATATGTGTCTCAGAATTATTTACTATTTGTTTAGTCTAGATCTTATCAGAGTCGAATACAAAAAAAAAATTAACAAATATTTCTAGCTGAATCTATTATATGAAAATTATCTGCCTTTCTTGCTTATGTGACAAATATCGATTTTTTCATTTTTGTCTGTTTTTTTTTGTAACGATTATCTTTGCTTAATGCAAAATCTATTATAGTTTACAAATTTTCAAAAATTATATCGAAAAAACTTCATCTAAATCTCCGAAATGTGATGTAGAAAATTTTTTTTAGTAAAAAAAAAAAAAGAAACATGCTAGTCATTCTATCTTCGAAAATAATCGACATAGTAGACTAAAATACTTATTATATCAAACAAAAAAATGTAAGAAGAATATAATGAAGCTAATAGATCCAATATAAATATAAAAGACTTGTAGCGAATCTTTAGGAATAAAAATGATGAGTAAATATCTTTATTAAAGAAAAAAACAGCTCTACTAGAGGAAATAGAACTTTCTTTTATTAACGATTAAATATTCTTTGAAAAAAAAAGAAATGAATATCCATATAGATCTCTTTCAATTATACTAAACATGTTCTTCATCTCGTTCTACACCCTAGTTGTGAAAATAGTCAGGGTAACGGATATGAAATAAAAAACAAATATCCTTATTAAAGAGATTAAAGAAAAAGCTTTTACGAATATTTTCATTAAACAGATCAAATTTCAATTTGATTATATGATTATTTGATATTGAGAACAAGAATAGATTTTGATGAATTTCTATCTACGGTTTTTTTTTTTACTTTTTAAATTAATAATAAATATTGAAGTTTTCTTTTTCGTTCAAGTATTCTTATTAACAAAAAAATAACGTTGAAAATAATTAATTATAGGATTATGATGATGCTGTTGAAAAACTTCATAAACTCAATTTAAGTAAAGTACAAGAACGAGAAATAATCCATGTAAGTTGAGTTTGTCTTTTCTTTGATCTAAACATTGTTTTTTTTTTGTATTTGAATACAGGTAACAGTTCATTGTTGTTTACATGAAAAAACTTATAATCCATATTATACATTAATATTACAACGATTTTGTGCATATGATCGTCGTTTTCAAGTAAAATTAATTTTTCTTTTTTTTATATTTATATTTTATTTAAAATATTTAGATATCTTTACAATATCATACATGGGATAGATTTAAAGATCTTTCATTACTTAATAAGCAACAATTAGCAAATTTTGGTTCCGCACTTTCTCAATTATTGATGTCGAAATCATTAACACTCAATATATTCAAAGTAAGTTTGTTAAACAATCAGAACAAAAAAAAATTTTAATTATTATTTTTTTCTTTTTTCATTTAAAAGAATTTCAATTTCATTGAATTAACACCATCAGCACGAACATTTCTTGTTGAATTATTTGTTAAATTATTTAATGAGATTGATGATGCATCATTAAAAAATATTTTTCAATTTCCATCAACACAAAATTATAAATTTGTTAAAGATGCTCTTAGGTAAAAAATAAAAATTTTTTAAAGAAATTATTAATTTTGATTTATTTTTAGATTATTTCTTTCTCATTTCATTTTAAAAAAATCGAATCATACAGAATTAGTTCATCATCGTTGTCAGATTGCTATTGATCAGTTATCAATTGAATAAGAAGAAATTGTTTTTCTTTTTTTTTTTTTTTGTTTTTTTCAGATGTATGAAGATTATTTTTCTATTGATGATATATTATCAACACAAGAACGTATTCGTTGTCAATTACTTGTTGATATACCAAAATTAGGTTTTCTTGAATCATCATCATCATCATCATCATTAAATGATGATAAAAAAGATGAAAAAGAAGGACAAAATTTATCATCATTAACAATAAATACAAAACTTGAACTTCCTTATTGGATGGTTTATTCAATATGTAATTGTAAAACACGATTTGCTTCATTACCTGAATTACCATTAGTATATTCACGTATTCAACGACAAATTTTTGCTGCTGATGCATCTGTTGTTGATTTAGCTAAACAATCTCCACATTTTTATCGTCAAGGACGTCATTTATTAGAATTAAATTTTGATGAAAAACGACAAGTTGCAATAACACTTTTACAAACATATCAACAAAGATTTCGATCAATTATGGATTCAGCTTTTCATTTAATTTTATCAAGTGATCATCATCATCATGAAAGTATGAAACAACAAACAGCAAAATTTGAAAGACAAGAAAAAATTTTATTATTATTGGGTCAAGCAGCTTTTCGGGATTATGATAGATTAATTAATAATGAAACAAAACAAATGTTACCACCAAAAATTCAAGGAATGACCAATGATCTTACCAATGTTCTTACTACAGCAATCAATAGAAAGAGAAAAAGATAAACTTTATAGATATATATATATATATACATATAGCAGATAATTTTTGTTTCTTTATTTTTCTCTTCAAATAAAAATGATCAGATAAGAGTCATTATAAATTTCATGTAGTAAGAAAAAAAAAAGACAAAATCTTAAGTATTTTCTAGAACAAATTCTTTGTTATCGTTTCGACATCCAATGCATTGTTTCTTCTCTATGAATGGATTTGTAACATATATTAAATAATCAATATAAAAATGTCTGTTCGAGAATTATATACTAAGGTATGTAGAATAATTAACAAGCTTCTTTTATATATTCTCGTCCATTGGATGTTGTCATTTATTTCAGCTCTAAGATTTTGTGAACATATTCATCTAAATGCTTAAGGTTTCTCAAAAAAAAAAAAAAAAAAAAGAAAAAAACTTGCGAACATTAACTTTATAGTTTTTGTCGTTGTTTCGCTTTTTTTTGTTTGCATTTCTTTTTTCCATTAGTCGACACAAACAATTATTTTCAAGTTCGTATTATTTGTCAATATCCCATATTTTGCTGTGCTATATTTAGTTTATATTGCATGAATTTGAAATAAAAATATTTTTGAATATATGAAAATACGCTATAAGAGGTTGCTTGAGTATTTTTTTTTAAATTATTATTTTGAATTTAAAATAAAAAGAAAAATCCTTTTTTTTTTTTTAGGGTGCACGTATTTGGTTACCAGATCAAGATGAAGTTTGGCGTGCTGTTACTGTCGATAAAAATTATGATGGAAAAGGAAAACTTGAAGTTATATCATCTGAAGGAGAAAAAGTGAGTTTATCATATATTTACAAAATTGGACTAAATTAGCTGCCCTCTATCAAGTGCTATTATTCTTTATGCTATTGAGCCGATATTTTGGATGCATGAGTACAACAATAAATTCTGATCACAAACACTAAACTCTCCTTCATCAGTTCATACATTTTCTTTTTCTTGTAAAGAATATATTCAACTGAAATCGAGAAACAAAAAATTTTTTGTTTGTTATTTTGCTGTTTTACAAGCTTTTTCTAGTATTCAAAGCAGTTTCATATGTAGGAATAGGCAATTCCGATTTCTAAAAAAGTCAACTTAGCCAATTAAAGTTCATGACTCATAGTCAAAGCTTTATGAATTAACACACTCTTGAAATAGTGTATCTATGTCATAGTACTAACTCGACTGCGATTATGAAATTTTCAGAAAAGATTTTTTGTTCTCATGGGAACTTTCTATTAAAATTTTTGAATAAATTAGTCTAATTCATCATGCAAAAGAGCTATGTTACTAAAAAAAACAGTATTTGCTCTTCAACAAATATTCTTAATGCGAAGACTATGTCACAGTTATTTTCAAGTGACTTCTAATGAAATTCGGACCAGAAATACCTACAACGTTGGCTTTTCTAATGAGTAGTTCCACAAAAATATGGAGTTAGTGCTTGCAATTAGAGTTTATTTTTGCATGTATGCATCGAAAATATCAGTTCAATATTATAAAGAATAATAATAATAATTTTTGGAGGACAGTTACTTTTATTGAATATAACATTACCATTGACATTAATTATATATTAGGAAACAATTCCAATTAAATCTGACACTGATCTTCCACCATTACGTAATCCTGAGATTCTTATCGGTCAAAAAGATCTTACTGCATTATCCTACTTAAATGAACCTGAAGGTAAAAAAGAAAAGAAAATCATAATTTATCTAAAAATCAAATTTTTTTTTTCATTTAAATTTAGTTTTATATAATCTTGAATCTCGTTTTAATAAATCGCAAATTTATACAAAATGTGGTATTGTATTAGTTGCTATAAATCCATATGAAGTTTTATCAATATATGGAAATGATACAATTCAATTGTATCGTGATCAAGATGTTCAATTATTAGAACCACATATATTTGCAACAGCTGAATTATCCTATCAATCAATGGTGAATTTTTCAAGAAATCAATCGATTATTGTTTCAGGAGAATCTGGAGCTGGAAAAACAGTTAGTGCTAAATATGCTATGAGATATTTTGCTAATGTTGGAGGATTATTAGAAGAAACACAAATTGAAAAAAAAGTTTTAGCATCAAATCCTATTATGGAAGTAAGATTATTTAAATAATATTATTTATATTTTAAATAATATTTATATTTTTAAAGGCTATTGGAAATGCTAAAACAATACGTAATGATAATTCATCACGTTTTGGAAAATATATTGAAATTGGTTTTTTAAGAAATCATATTTGTGGAGCATCAATGAAAACTTATTTATTAGAAAAATCAAGGTTTAAAAGAATTTTGAATATTTTCGAAAAGGTTTATATTTCTTTTTTTGTTTGTAGAGTCATTTATCAAGCACAAGATGAAAGAAATTATCATATATTTTATCAATTATGTACACAAGCAAATCAATCTGAAATGAAATCTCTTGCACTTTGTAAGAATATTTATTAAATATTATTGTTTTATTATTTTTTTGTTATATTAGTACCAGCTAATAAATTTCGATATACATCAGAAGGCAATGCAATAATAATTACTGGTGTTAATGATGCTGAACAATTTTTAGAAACACGCGAAGCACTTGCACTTCTTGGTTTGTTTTATTTTTACTTTTTGTTTTTTTTTTAAATGTATGATTTATGTGTTTATAGGTATTGAGAATAAAGTTCAAATGTCAATATTTCGTCTTTTGTCGGCTATACTTCATTTGGGAAATGTTATTATTAATGAAGGTGAAGGTGAAACAACATTTGTTAAAGAATCAGATAAATCATTTTCAACATTCTGTTCACTTCTTAAACTTGATGAAAATCGTATGAGAACATGGTTATGTAATAAAAGAATTAAAACTGGTGTTGAAGTTGTTAATACAACACTCAATCTTAATCAAGTATTATTTTTAAAATTCATTTATTTTATTTATTCTAGTCTTTTTGAGTCAATGTTTAAGCTCATTCAGTAAGAATTTTGATTGATTTTAAATTTTTTTCTAGATGTTTCTTGCATTGAGTAATATAGCAAGGGAAAGTAGAGTAATTTCTTTCTTCGAAATTTTTCTTGTGTTATGCATTTCTCTTTAGAAATCTTTTGTTATGAATAGATAATATTTTTAATCTTTCAGTAGAATAGAATGGTTATATT